CAGGTCGGCAGTCCCTGCTGCAGCACTTGGGGTGCCCATGCCAGATCTCCATGCCATGTCCATTGCGATTCGAGATGGCGCAGCTCGAATTGCTCTTCTGGAGGCTCGTGTGGCAGAGCAGGATGGTAAGATTGACACCCTGCAACGCCTTCATGAAGGCCTTAGGCGCGAAATCATCGACCGGCACCCCTCATTCCCACTTCCCGACACTCCTGCCCCTGCAACATCCTTGTTGCTTGATCAATCCGGCCCCCGCACCATGTCACCCCCAGAATCCGCACTCCCTCCTCTGGTTGATCTCAGTATGGAAACAATGGCTCCCACACCCGCAGCCCTGACATTCCCGGATGCCTCTGCCATCGAGGGTCTCCTGTTCGACTACAACCAAGTTGTTCATCCAGAGGATCCAGATGCATCCGGCGAAATTGTGGACCCAGGTGATCCAAGCAACCTTGTCCCAGAATATGACTCTTCCAGCAACATGGATGTTGAGGTGGAGGTGAAGGTTGAAGAGTCTTCTGTGGAGGTTGACATGGCTACATAATTGCATAGTGATAGATGTATATACAAGTTTTCAACGAATGTAACCTCTGCCAGTCCATTGATTGAGTCACTGAGTTCCGAGTCCCGAGACCTGGAATTCGGCACTCGGGACTTGAGACGACAGATTTGAAACTTGAAACTTGAAACTCGAAAGCACTCGAATCTCGGGTCTCGGTACTCGGTATTCGGTACTCGACACGATGCTCAAAACTCGTAAAACTGTTTCGAATCACCGAGTACTGACTACCAAGTACCGAGTACCGAATCTCGGGTCTCGGTACTCAGTATTCGGTACTCGACACGATGCTCAAAACTCGTAAAACTGTTTCGAATCACCGAGTGCTGACTACCGAGTGCCGAGACCCGAGATTCGGTACTCGGGACTCGGTACTCGACACGATGCTTGAAACTCATAAAACTGTTTCGAATCACTGAGTACTGACTACCGAGTACCGAGTACCGAATCTCGGGTCTCGGTACTCGGTATTCGGTACTCGACACGATGCTTGAAACTCGTAAAACTGTTTCGAATCACCGAGTACTGACTACCAAGTACCGAGTACCAAATCTCGGGTCTCGGCACTCGGTAGTCAGTACTCGGTGATTCGAAACAGTTTTACGAGTTTTGAGCATCGTGTCGAGTACTGAATACCGAGTACCGAGACCCGAGATTTGGTACTCGGTACTTGGTAGTCAGTACTTGGTGATTCGAAACAGTTTTACGAGTTTTGAGCATCGTGTCGAGTACCGAATACCGAGTACTGAGACCCGAGATTCGGTACTCGGTACTCGGTAGTCAGTACTCGGTGATTCGAAACAGTTTTACGAGTTTCAAGCATCGTGTCGAGTACCGAATACCGAGTACCAAGACCTGAGATTCAGTACTCGGTACTTGGTATTCGGTAGTCAGTACTTTCGAGTTTCGAATTTTGAGTTTTGTTTCCAATCTTTTGTCTCGCATGCCAAGTGCCGAATTCCGGGTGTCGGGTGTCAGTACTCGGTTCTCAGTACTCGGTACTCGGTGATTCGAGTCTCGAGACTTGTGACTCGTGATTTACAAATCGACATTTGAAACTTGTGATTTCTGAGAACAATGTGTATTATCTTATGTATTTCTGTACTCATTTCACCGACTACTGAGTGCCGAATCTCGGGTCTCGGGTCTCGGTATTTCAAGACAACAAAAATGTATATCATCTTAAATTTGAATTTTCTTAACTCGAGACTCGAAACTCGTAAAAATGTACAATACCTAGGCCTATCTGTCTATATGATATGTATCTGGGCCCACCCGTCTATCTAATACATAATTCACCTCACCCTTGGCCCACCCGTCTATCTAATATTACCCGACGTCGGCCCACCCATCTATGTAGAATTCCCCACGTCGGCCCACCCGTCTATGTAATAAATAATTCCGCTCACCCTTGGCCCACCCGTCTATCTGATATTACCCCACGTCGGCCCACCCGTCTATCTAATAAATAACTCACCTCACCCTCAGCCCACCCGTCTATCTAATATTACCCCACATCGGCCAACCCGTCTATGTAATAAATAATTCCCCTCACCCTCGGCCCACCTGTCTATCTGATATTACCCCACGTCAGCCCACCCATCTATCTAATAAATATTTCACCACTCCCTCGGCCCATCCGTCTACAAAATAATACTAATACGTCGGCCCACACGTCTATATAATACTATTTGCTATACATCTCTCCTCAGGTCTATAATATATGTCAATCCTACTCTACATATTACCCACATGGGCCCACCCATCTCCATAATAATATTTCTCCCGACCCATCCGCTATCGTCGATGATATATATAACATCAGCATAGATGGGCCCACCCGTCTCCATCGGAAATAATATGCCTCCCGGCCCACCCGTCAACATCGGGAATATACATACATAACATCGGCCCATAATCTGCTGGCCCGTATTACACGGGATATTATGTAGGTCGGGTGACCCGTATAATACGGGATTTGTCACTGAAGGGGCTCTATAGTAGGTAAGTAAGGAACGAGGAGGGAAAATTTCTGACATATGTATATTGCAGGGCGTAGGCCAACGTCATTCGGGCGCAGCCTATTGGCCACTTTGGCTCATGCGCTCGGACCTGTTTCTCCCGCTCGTACCTAGCCGGATCCTTCGGCTCCCTCACTCTCTCCCTCATCGGATCGCTCGGACTTCAACACTGTCTACATCTCTAGACTCGCAAATGCCCTGATGCTGAGGAACAACTCCCTTGGTCCGCCGTTCCTGCCAGCCGTTTTTAGACGCGCAGTCCATTCGAAGACGAGTTGACTGCTCTCTCTGTAGTATTGCAAGGTGTGAGTTGTTTAATTGTGAGGTTTGTGTACTGAAGCGTGTACTCAACTGCCAGTGTCTTGAAGGACAGACTGTACACAAAGCTATGAAAGTGTGTTAGTGATGCCATTGGATTGGGACCCACATCATTATCACACGCTGCTATGATTGGCCCGGGCAAGCTTCCCAAAGTTCCCATCACTTCGTAGCAGTCAGGACTCAGCAACTGGTCGGTCAATACCACAAATATTCTCTTAGATCTAGATTCTGATAATCTCATAGATGTCAGCGCCAAGGACCCACATGTTATCATGCATTGCTGATTAATGATTAGTCGGAAGCAAGTGCCTCATCACTTCTCCGGGCGACGATCAGCGCTCAGCAACCACCAGCGCCAGCGCCACTTATAATAGGGGCTAACAGATGGATGGTTCCAGCCAGCGTCACTCACACTATAAGTACTCCAGTACAGTAGGGCATGAAAAGAAGTAACTCGATTGTCTACCATCAGCTCTCATCTAAACACACATCGATTCAAACACCAGTGAGAGGTTCATTCTTGGGCCAATTTCATGATGTCTGACTCGAGTCTTGTGCACACTGTTGTTCTCTAGTCATGCACATTAGCACAGATGACGAAGTTCAATCATGCTCTTGCCCAACTGGCATGTTGCAAAACGCTTCTCAGATTCCGGTGGACCATTGTGTGTACAAGACGGGAATCCGTATGGACGGCAGCATATGTGCCACATTCATGATTACCAGAAAGACCAGTAAGCATATTTGTTACTAGTTGCCGAGCATACACTGAATTTCTATTGTCTTACATGATGACTAGTCATGTCCAATTTGAACACTGAAATGAAAGCTTGAAAGATGCTGGTCCGGAGTTCTTGGTTGATGTAATTTCCATTGGTTGGCTCAAACATGTTGATTCAATATTTGATATCAGTCAGACTTTGAGGAAATAACGGAATTGAATATTGTTGAGGTTGGACATTGAATAAGTTTAGTGATGTTCCGGCCCGGCTTCAAGCCCCGGGCCAGCCCAAGCGGCCAGGCCTAAATAAGCCGAGCCAAGCCCAGGCCCAGGTCACGGCCGCAGTGCACAAGGCTTGGGCCTGGGCTTCAATTTTGCAAAGCCGAAGCCGGCGGCTTGCTAAGGATGTCAGAGTCAGGCTGACAACGAGGGCGTGGACAACGATGTCAACTATCCTTTGTAGTGATTACAAACCGTTTAACGCCGGAAAGTACCGTTTTGACGCTTATCTCTACCACCAACCACCATCAGCGCACTGCCAAAGTCAGTCAGCACAGACCTCACTTCCATTTCAGCGCCTCGCCATTGCCAACCCTCAGCTCCTCGTCACTGTCACCTCATTATCAGTTCGCCGCTCCCGAATCTGTCAAAACCGCTATGCAACTCTCGTCATTCTGTCAATACCATACCCGTTTATATTGCCACTCACTCAATCCTTTTGTACTCTCTTTCCTTTCTGTCTATCCTACACTGTCTGACTCTCCTTATCGCATAACATTCATTAAACGCCAATCTAGTTCTACAGCATATCAGCATCACACTATCGGTCTGTACGCCCCTTCGAACTCGCAGCAAGAGCGACGCAGGTTCTTATAACACTACTGCGCGTGCTTGCCCACATCTACACTTATCTTGATGTGTCTCAGGCCGCGCTTGTATGTATCCGGCGTCTTCAAGTTGCGCAATAGGTTCTATTTTTCGATTGATAATATTCATAACTAACTGATCATATGCTCCTTACTTCTCTGCTAATGTTTGTGCATGCCTGCACTTGTCTGCACTGCACCTCTGCGCTTGTTTGCGTGTTTTTACCTGTTTCTGCAAGCTCACCTTTTGTCACACAGGACATGCAACTCGGGAGTGGCAAAGATTATATATATGTATGTACCATGTATATACTTACTTGTGTCTGCGTGCTCACTTGTTCTGCCATCGCAAAAATTCAGCGCGTGGGCCGCGGCTTTTGTCTGGCTCGGGCTCACGGCTCAGGCTTGAATTCTGGCGAGCCTAAGCCCCTCCAAGCCGAGCCTAAGCCGGGGCTTTGAGCCCAAGCCGGGCCGGAACATCACTAGTTTCAACACCCGAGTCATCGCCTATAATGACATCCACTGGTATAGGCGATGACTCGGGTGTTGAAACAGTCACCTCAAACATCGATTCACCATCGCACTCAGCTACCACCGGTGAGCCACGGAAACCTGTAAGTGCTTGATTTTGGAGGTCTTTGCGTCTGAATATAATAAATATCTACTTCAACATTCGGACGTGGCTATAGGCGAGGACTTGGGCCTTGAGATCGTCAGTAACAGTGTTAGCTGTTGTCAGCTGCAACTCGTGTGCGAAGTGTTGGACTGAACGATATAGTCCAACACTTCGCACACAAGTCTTCCATCGCTTATTTCCCGCCTCCCGACTGAAATTCTTTCGGAAATCTTCCTGTACTGTCTGCCCGAAGACGAGCATCTGGTGTACGCATCAAGACAGGCACCTATGCTATTGACCAAAATATGTCGCCGATGGAGGGAGATTGCTGTGGGATTTCCCAGGTTATGGTGCAGGCTGCAGGTGGAATTCTGGTACGAAGACTGGAAGACAAGAGCCTCCAGCCACGAAGACTGGCAGACGAGAGCTTTTGGATACGACTCCTGGCTCAAGCGATCGAGAGGATGTCCCCTCTCGTTAAGACTCGAGTGTGGTAATGACTGGAGTGAGCTACAAATCCTGCTCCAGCCATACGTTCAGCAAGTCTCGTCTCTCTCACTTGGCTTTATATCCCGCGACGGCCCCTTCAGGATAGAAGACTTCCAGGCACTCAAGGACCTGACTATCCGCAAATACATGTTTGATGATTACGCACGAGCTATCAACCCCCTCTCTCTCAAATTACCGGTTAATCTGCGCACGATTAACATGAGGAACGTGTGGTTCAACCGCCGGCAATTAGATTCCTTCGCTGATTCCGGATGGGACCGTCTCACACATCTCGAGATCAGCGTAGATGGACGACACTCGGACACCCGCATACTCAGTCTATGTCCTAATCTCTCTTCACTGAAGATGACTGGATTATTTAACCTGAACCAGACTGCAGAACCAGTCACGCACACCAACCTTCAATCCTGGCACATATCTTGGACCGTAATTCGGAACTTGACCGGAGATCCTGGCCTATTCCAGGTTATGACACTCCCCAAGTTTCGCACGCTTGGAGTTAGCCAGGGCCGTGGCCGCATGAATCCTTCATGGAATTCTTGACGCGGTCAAAATGTTGCTTGGAGAGGCTGGTTTTCGACACAGAAGGGAAGCACCCTCTGATACTCAAGTAACTATCAACCAATATCATCATTTCATGGAATAGGTAGCCAACATCTATTTAAGCAAAAAAAAAGTCGCTTATTGTCCATCTACATCAAAACTGCATCGGGATCTTCAATGATTTCGAAAGAAGGGAAAAGGGTAGCATATTCTGCATGTTCCTCTTCTGTTGTCCACACCTCACTAAACATGTGTCCTTTCGATGTCGAACTTTAAAGACATTCAATTTTTGTCATAGTCTGCGCGTTGATCAGAATCATCAGATACATAATGCAAATCACACTCACCGTATCCTTCATATCCAACACTAGCACTGTCGTCTCATTCAAGGCCAGCATCTCTTCAGCGTCCTCCTTCATGGCACATAATCATCTAGCACGACGAACTTGACAGTGTTACTGATCCTGTAGGTTGCTGCATCGAAAGCATATATCCTGTCCATCTCGTAAATTACATACCTGCATTCCTGTTGTAAGACACCCACTCTTCGTCCCCCGCAATACCCCGCTTTTACACTCCTTGTCAGAACACAGTAACAAATGTCTACGATTACATCCGTTTCGACAGCCAACGCGCCCTCAGCCATTGGGCCCTATCATATTCCCAAGCCATCAAAGCTGGCGAATTCGTGTTTGTTTCGGGTTGTGTCCACCTCGTACCTTCCACAATGCAGGTGGTATCGAGGAGCAGACCAAGCAAGCCCTCACACATTTCAAAGCTGTTCTTGAAGCCAGCTCTAGTTCAGTTGTCAAAGTTGTCAAGACTACGGTGTATCACTTTTTCATTGTGTTCCATCTCCCCTCCCAATTTGAGTGAGTGATTCACTGATATCGCGGCGTCTTCCGCATCATGAAGCTCTGTAAGATAATCACGAAGTATTCTTTCCTCTATAAGACCATCGATGACAATGTAATCCCCGTAGTTGATTCTTGTTATTCTGAACTATATGACTGCATGTGCTCACTGTTAGCTGAAAACTTGAAGCACTGGACTTGCAACGAGCATGTCCGAGAATTGGGGATGAAGACAACGTAGTCTAGGATGATGCATGAATTGGATGAATAACTGACGCATATCTTGAGCAGTACCGCGCTGAAATTCTCAATCATATCAATTTATAAGTAAATGTACTAATCTCGCTTCTCGCTACAGCAGATATACCTTCCTGACCTTCGTTGCGCAAACGCCGAACCACATCGCAGCATTCTAGTCATATCCCACCTTTCAGATTTTCCTGAATGATTGGCGCAATCTAAAAGAAAAGAATGCAGACACGGTCATGAATAGAACTGCAGAAAATAATGCAAATACTCACATCTATGAACGCTTTCCCTTCATGAATTCGCCAATCTGTTCCAGGCCATAAATATCATTTTCTGGAAGAGCGATGGTCGGCAATCGGCTCCATTGTCCATCCAGGTGTTCCCCGCTTTGCTAGACAACCCTATCGCCTCCCCAATCGGTATGCAAGAGTCGAAATCGATTATCACAGGATCTCCCGCGTCATCGAGCGCGATATTAGCGGGGTTGATGTCATTGTGCACAAGACCGAGCGTCTCATGCAGAAAAGTGAGCCCTTTCGAAACACCGTCAAGAATCGCGGCATGGTTCGGGTGGGATCACTTTCCCAAACTGCATACATAAGTGTGCGTCCATATCGTTTCAAACATATGGCAGTGATGTGATCAACATCACGGACGCATCCATAGTAGACGCAGATATTAGGGTGAGGGTGCTGCTTAAGGATTTCGTAGACTTTGGCCTCCTTGACCAGATAGTCTCCAGGTGTCCACACACCTGGCTTTTCTGGCTCGTCTGAGTCGTAGTCATCAGGCAGGAGTATGCACGGGCGCTTTAGAAAAGAGCCTGTGGGAGGTACAGGAGGTGATTCGGTTAAAGATGGATGCCAACGGCCCTTGAAAATATGCATGGGAATGGGGATGGACTTGAAGGTAGAAAGACTGTCGAGGTTGAATGGTTCGGTCGTTGCCCAATGCTCGGATTGATAATAATTATCATTTTCCTTCCATACAATGACAATATGGTCCAGCTTTTCAGTTGTAGAGTTCCATACTTCATAACTTTTGACGAGTTCTCGCATCATTGGGAATGACAAACTGCGAATATCTTCCAACTTTATATGCACTGGAACTAAATGCCTGCAGTGAGGATGCTATATTATCGCTAGTGCAAATGATTTTTCGCTCACCAACAAGGGTTATGCTGTGACTGTGCTGTGACTCTCCTGTAGACAGACCAAATGAAATGAAGATAGTTGTTCGCCTCTGCTGTGACTCGGTGGTGGTGGGGCAAAACAAATACTTCGAACGTTAGGTTCTATGAATATTTCCTGGCTAACAGCACGCAACTGGGGCTCACAGCCTGGGGGTTATAAATCATGGCCTATCACAGCCGCAATAGATGTCCACTGCAAACGCCCACATTGAATCTTCATTTGCGTTATCGTACATCGTTGATTGGCAGGAAGTAAGCGCCTCATAAGTATCACTTCCTTGGGCGGCGGTCAGCAACTGCCAGATCGGTCATCACCCAGTTGTCATCAGCTGTCAGCGCTGAGGAGTCGGGACCCACATCATGTTTTAAAATCCCCATTGGGGTAAAATACCCTATGTCGGACAGTGCTATCAAATAAACACACAGTGGATGAATAGAAGTGCCACAGAAAAGCACGCCACCGGGGCTCACAGGGGGTTATAAAGCACGGCCCGCTACGGGATCCGCACTGAAAGCGTTGTTATCATTCGAGAGGCTCCAATAACTTTCGGAATGGATACCTTTGTTTTGAACATGTAACGACGGTGAGCGCCTTCGGATGAGAGGGATTGCATCTCGATAAGCTAACGCTGAAGTAGTAGTGTCCTATCCAAACGAAGCTGATTGATTTCTCAGATTTGACCGCGCAGGCAAAGGAGTGGCTCAACTTGTATCATGCGGAGACGCTGGAGAAGGTAGGACCTTTGCCCCGTAACGACCTGCGTGCTCTTCAGCTAGATATAGAGTGTTTTCCTGTGTAGAAGATGGGTCCTATCAGATGCGGTTGTTTAATCTGAGAGCATCCCCAATTTTGTACATCTGCGGTTTCATGAACGCCAAGTCCAGTCGGGACTTATCACTCGTTGGAACATCATGAGATGGGACGGACGAGTGGAAACCATTTATCTTGTTGATGCATAAGTGAAATAATTATAGAACCCTTGGGATTCCGAAGGTGTTACATCTTCCCTATTTTTTCCAGTAATCAAAGGTCTAAGGCATTGGCCATAGTCTACCATGGCTGACTTCGAGCCTATTACTTTATGCAGGAGGACGATTCCAGTAATACCCCTAAAAATTCGTTAGCTGGCGACCATAAAAAAGGCGAAACAACGTACAGTAATCCCGCCACGCCAACAGCTGGTTGAGTTGTGCGGCATCAACTCGCACGTATCCACCCGCTGATTCTAATTCCTGCAACATTTGATGTGCTACCCATTCACCGGAGTCTCCAGCCCATATATAGCTTGGCTTGAAGTGCGGTATGAATGGCGGCTTTGTATACAAGGGGTTATGGGTGATGATAATCGGCTGACGTTGGATACTAGCACCATCTGCAGGCACGGGAACGCCAGTATTGGCGAATAGTACGGGGTGCCACCAATCCACGACCATCTATAATTGGTCAAGAAGAGGTTAAGCCGTAAATACTCATCAATGTTATCTCCGAAGCAAGCGGTGCACCTGGTAGCGTCTTTGCCAACCTGCATTCATATACACTGCTCCGCACAATGGAGCTACTATGGGTATAGTGGTGCGCTGATCGACGTAGATCACAGCGCATGGACGTTTCTTCTGTGCCGGATTCCCCGTCCAGGAACCTGAGGAATCGCCAAGTAGATGCGAATGGGTTTGTACATCACAATATCTCCGGGCACGACCGGCTGTGCCATCTCGCCTGGAGGTGGTACCTAAATATTGGTCGAAAGAAAGTGATATACAGTGGACGGAAGTCAGCTTCAAGTCTTATATCTGAAAAAAAATGGGAGGCAACAATGAAGTTTGAAAGCTGTAGTTCTTATCATTCAATCAAAAGCTGAGTGGGTGCCATGCAGGGGCGTGAGCATCGACATCCAACAAACAAACGAGCGCCCAGTGGGATAGAAGTGCCACAAAAAACGGAGAGTACATACGGAGCTGTAGAAAAACTCGACATCCTGCCATCAAGTAATGTGGCGCTAGGCCTTGAGGTTCAAGATGGCGATCAATTAATCATTGATCACCACCTTTGGAAAAAAAACACCAGCTGAGCGCTGATCCGGGATATCACAATTTGCAAAAGACCTTGATCACTGCAAAAGCTGTTAAGTATCTTATCCGGCTCTCCAGGATGTACCCACCTCTGCGCGTGGGATGAACTGTAACTACATCAGCACCCGTCGCCCTCTTCCACTAGACCGTTAGCGTCCGCCTCGCCTGTATCGTTTGCAAGACAGAACGAGAGACCGCTGAATGGGTGGTGGTCCGTGATCCGTAGAAGCGGCAGGAGGCTTGCTAAAGTGGACAATTTGAAAGTCGGAGGATTTAGATGAGACTGCTAATGAGCGCAATGCGAAACATCCCTATGTCCCCCTCTTGCAGGAGGAAACTCGATTTAGTAGTAGAAAATTCACACAATTTGGCGAGTCATGAGTCGCGACTAGGTGATCAGTCATATTTACAGTCCACATATTAGCACCCGGCGCGCTTGAAAGCCACTCTGACCGGTAGTCGGATCAACCTGCCTCATAGGACAATATCAGGATACTGGTCACCAGCCTATTTGAAAAGTGTTCCCACCACTTGGGGACCTTCGCCGGGGGACACATCGACTAGTTGTCTCCGCCTTCATCATTTCTGCCCCCCCCCCCTATCCCCTAGTGCAGCACTACTTCAAGGGTGCAAGGCTCGGCCTTATCCTTTTCGTCTGCTCTTGTTGTTTGATATCTGATTCTATCGGCCCTATATCATGCTTATCTGGTTCGCAGTCAGTTTCTTTCGGATACCCCATCCAAGCACCCCTTGGTTTGTTTTGAACTCACGGTAAGCGCGTTCTTTATCTTGGGAAGGGTGACTACTCATATCCCAAGTTGATCTCCAGGGCTTTTGATTTCCCTGCCAGTCAGCGCGTTCAACTCCGCAGGATCTCTTGTTCAGCATCCACTCTGGGATCGCGCCACATAATTGGTCGCGTTTTCAGGGTGAGTAGATTCATTAAATCTATGACTCGTCAGAAGCTGCGTAGATCAGCGGTGTGATATACATGGGCTGAGCACGGAAGAGATCATAGAAGTTATTGATGTGGCAACCGATCAGAATGCCTATATGCGTGACATGTTGTGTGTGCACAAGTACACGTCTGGTATGCAATCCCAAACTTGATGCGGGGTAATCCTGAGGCTTTTACAGAGACCTAGGAAGCACAATCATTTTTCACTTCCAGCCCGAATTACGGAAAAAACGAATCAACGTGATACGTACATTCGTGATCCAGATTTCACTGATCAGAAAATGATCAGAAAGTATGTCCCAAGTACGCTGGAGAAAAATTAGAGGCGATGATCAATGACTCGGACACGAGTCATAGAAGACTGCGACTGCCAAATAAAACCTATTAGCAACGAGTGCGTGGTGCCGTATGGATTGCTGGCACTAGCCTAGTATCCGATGGCAATGTTCAAGTTGTGTGCCAAGACAGAGCAACGGGACAAGGAAAGGTGAAGCATGAGGATGAGGATGAAGAGGCGACCGTAACTCGGACTCGGAGGGTTCCAATACAGATTGTAATTCTGGTTACAAACTTACAAGCTGCAGCGGGCTGGCAACTTGCAAGATTTTCAAAGTCTAGCCTTACGTACTAATCGCATAATATTAACCCAGCTGACATAAGTACCTTGGTCCTCGGAAACGCCCATCACTGGCAGGCCTCAGTCTGACAGGAGCCATCAAGATCCCAAGGCTTAAAACATTTAAGCAACAAATGGGCGTCACCTACAGGCTACAGCTGTTCAGTTTTAACTCCGGAATGATTCTCTTGAGCTACTTGTGGGCAAGCCAGTGCCATTAAATAATGTTATAAACCTTGGCCAACAAATGGCTTCGTCTTCAAATTGCCTCACTCTTTCGTCATTGCAAAATTTCTCTTCCTCAGCGTTTCAGCTAATTGGACATCGTACTATGGGCTTGAAAAAGCTGCGTCCTTGAAAACTCTTCCTTTCCTAGCGTTGCGTGTCTCACGAAACCGACGGTTGGGATGCAGGATCTGGCCGTCAAGGACAATTTCTGTTTGCGATATCCTCCGGAAAGCCAACAGGAGTGAATGATGGGTGTTACTTTGCTCTGGGATCATCGTTGAGCATAGAAAGGAAGACGTTGCACGTTGAACCTTCCTTGCGCCCTAGTGGGCGCACTCTCTACGTTCATACTTTTCCGAGGCTTCTTGAGGATGCGCAATTCCAAATCTCGCCAGTGACCGTGCCTCACCTCCCGCATCGACTCGACGAAGCTAGTTTCCCTCGCCTTCTGTGGTTCAGTCTTGGAAATTTACGCGTAAATTCCTGAAGTGCGCAAATGATGCGCACTCGTCCGGTGGGAAGCGAGCCCGTGGAGGATGGGTGGGATTCGTGGAGTGGCAAGTCGCCCTACGAGTATGCATGACCGAGGGGTTACGTTTTTGAATATTGGAACCTCGGGATTTCAACATGTCAACTGCTGTCGAAGCAACATTCATATATCAAGATTTACTACTGTATAACCAGTAAGTCGCCATCGATTAGTGATTGTGATTTCCTAAGTCCTCAAATGTTTACAGACTTGCTGCAGACTACTCATGGATGGGTATCACCGCTGCCGTGAAATGGGCTTTGAAGTCAAGGGATGTAGGTCAGGATGGTATGAAATATTGCTCACGATTTCTGATAAAAGGTTTGTTTTTGTAGCATTATCATGCGTATAGGGTCCGACGAGGCGGCGCGCTGCTGCCAGGTTATTCGTTTTGTCGAGAATTTTGCCGACCTTCGATGCAAGCCTCAAGGCACATGCTTGTAACTCTCTGTCGATGAAGATTCCTTTGACGGTGACCCCCAGTTGCTGACAACGCATCGGAAACGGAAGGAAGTGGACTGGGATGATGGGCCCGATGTCGACCATCGAGTTTATCCCGAACTACATGCCTCCCGTGCCCGCCCCATCCACTAGAGCAATCGCCTTTGATATATTTGGCACCATCTTGGCGAGTTTTTCACATTCCAGTCCCATGCGCGCAAGTTGCTCACATGTAATCAGGATCGTGATGGTGCCATCAACGAAGCTATGCGGCTGCTATCACCAACATATCCAGACAATCGCCATCTGTCTAAAGTGTATCTCGAATGCGAACTTATGAGACACAGAGATCATACTGACGCACCCTATAACGACATCGTGCGGCACCGCCTGCAGGATGTCTGCACTGTTCTGGAAGCGCCGCCCAGTGAAGCGGTTCTCCAGGAAGCTATACAGACTATCCTGCAACCTGGTTTTATATGCCGATGCAGAAGCAGCTGTGAAGACGCTCCTGATCCAGGGTATGTGCTGGTCTGTCTTCCGATCCCGGGCGTGAAATCATTTTTACTTCCACAACTTCCATCTGGTCTTACTTTGCATGATCAACCTGCACCTCTTTCGGATCTCTTGCCAAAACCACTCCATATTTTCGGACCTCTTGGAGCGCTGTCGTTTGAAATGTGGAACCATCGACAAGGACCCAGATTCTTGTAGTGACATCTAGTCGTTACCGAGTGATGGAACCAGCAATTATGGCGGGTTTTCCCAACCATTTTGGTTCAACGTCCTGGATGTCTAGAATCGGACGTGGAAACTCAGGCACAAGCGACCCAACCCTAGCGGTCGACGGACTACAAGGTTTACAATGCAGCTACAAAAATTTGTCTGCTCTTCATCATTCACCAGTAGAGCGCACTCCCAACTCACGTCAAAGAATTTCCGCGTTTGTGGCATGTATCAGGTGACAAAAATTGCTTGGAATGGGAAAGCTTTGGTATGTTTCACAATGTCTACTTTTCCCCATCAAACTAGCTTATATGCTTTGACATGACAGGAAATGTGGTCAAGTGCTTGTCACGTTCTCACCGGCTCGGAGGTTGCAATCAAAATGGAGGTCCCGTTCCGACTCACCGACCCGCGGACTGTCGTGTTGCCTTACGAAGCTCTAGTGTACAACCTGCCTGCGTGGACACCCAGGGATACCGTCAATGCAAATGGAGTGGTATTGATCGAGGATCCCATATCTTGATTCTCGATCAAGTAGGTGCGAATCTTCAAACAGCTTCGAAGACTCTGCAGGGGCGAAGCTCTCTCTGAAGACAGTAGTTATGCTCGCTATCGAAATGGTAAGCGTGCTGGACACCTGCCCGCGAGTTTGGGTTGATTTGTGTGTATTTTGCCAGTTGGATCGAATTGAATTTGTACATTCACGAGGGGTCATCCTGCGTGACATCAAGCCTGAAAATTTCGCGATGGGCGTTGGGGAGAACTCTCACGTCGTCTATCTATTCGACTTTGGTTTGGCGAAGCTTTGTTGACCCATCCACAGGAGCGCATATACCGTTCCGTGAAGGCCGCGTTGGACTTGGAACTCCACGATATGCAAGCTATAACGTGCATTTTGGACGAGGTTCGTAGAGACCATTTTAACTCCTGCTCAGGGCTAACGAACAAGGAGTAGAACAAGGGCGACGAGACGATCTTGAAGCGTTGGGCAACGTGCTACTATTTCTTTTGCATGGACGTCTGCCTTGGCAAGGCGTCTACTCACCAAGCCTCGAGGCCAAACTACTTCGAATGGGGGAAATGAAAGCTGGTTCAGCATTTCGCGACCTCCTTACGCGCTCACCTGTGGAGTTTACTACGTACTTCGATCACTGCCGTGGTTTAAAGTTTGAAAGATAAGCAAACTATCTTTGCTAAGACAACTGTTTAACCAGATATTGGTCACGGAAGGGTGGACGGAAAACAGCAGGTTTGATTGGGAGGATGGAAGTTCCCGCAAAGGTGTGCTGTCCCTGACGAGTATAAATTAGATATCCGATTTACAAAAGACGATGTGTCCACGCTACAGTACGTGGGCCCATACATTCATTATGCAATTTATTAAATGTGTCGGGGAGAACTCTCACATCGTCCATCTATTTGACTTACATTTGGTGAAGTTTTACGTCGACCCGTCCACCAGGAACACATACTATGATACTGTCCTGCGAATAGACCCCGCCCATATTCGAGCTAAAATGCACATTTTGGACGAGGTCGTATGAACCACCTAAATTAATTCCTGACACAAGGCTTGTGAGATGACCCTGAAGCATCGGACAATGCCCTCCTACACTCTCGCATGGCCTTCTGCCTTGGCAAGACATATATGCACCAAGTGTTGAGACCAAACTGCTTCGAATAGAGGAAATGAAAGCTGGCTCAAGCAGCATTTCGTGACCATCTCGTGCACTCCCGTAGAATTTACAATGTACTTCGATCACTGCCGTGGTTTGAAGTTCGAAGAGATGCCCAACTAGACATTGTTGAGGCAGCTGTTCAGCAAGATTATGAAGAGGGACTGAGGGTGGACGGGAGACGAGGTTTGACCTGAATTTAACGAGTCTGCATTTGATACAAAGTGTTAATAAAGGAAAGCTAATACACTAAAAATGCAAAAAGTTAACATGTCGAAGACGTGACGAGGAGAAGATCGAACCGACAAGGCTGAACTTAAAAGTGGGAGAGGGATGCATGCGGGGAAGTTGAGACCGTTATATGCTGCTCGCCGGTGACGGCTACGACATTAAGTTGAAGCGAAGATGTTGAACAGAGTCTGGGGTCTTTTCATTGTGAGTGACGTGCCAAATGTGTCCGGACTTTGTGTGCTCAGGGTTTGGAAGTCGTTCGAACGAGCCGAGCGGCGAGAAAGGTCCGAATGATAACAGGTTACCATGAACTCCGAGGAATACCTTGAAGCGAATATGTTGGGAGTGGCCTTACATAAATCAGTGTGAGCAAGCTCGGAACCATAACAGGTGCTACAGTTTGGACGTCGGTTCAGGACCAACTGTATCAGTTTAACTTTGAAGAAAATCCAAATGCAGACTAGCCTTTTACCACTGTAGTGATACACCTTAGCAGGTGTAGACGAGTCGGGCGTAGAGCTCCAGAGCAGAGGCAGGCCGGAGACGAGTAGAGCAAGAGTGCCAAGGGGCGGCAGTTCCCGAGAGGTCTTGGTTGTAGATCTAGTCGCATGTAGCAATGAGCATCATCCATCATAGAGTCAGCGTCCTTCTCTGTTCTAGAGCGCAGTGCTAGCGCGTCCACCACACAACTCGCTTGAATGAGATTCCAAGCCACTCGAGCCTCGAGGTCACGGTTGGGTTCCTGCTTCCTTTTTTCGCCTGGGCCCACTGGCAGTATTGTTGGCGGAAGACTGTACTAATAGATAGGCTAGAACACTAGCTTGGAATCTGACTCGGACATGAGGTGATAATAGTTTATCAACTAGACGCTGAATAAAGAAACAAACTGACACACAATTGACATTTAATTTGTATCTTAGATGTGCGATGTAAAGTCTAGACCTTCGAACACCGGTTTGGCGGTCAACATTGATTCATTAAAACAAATGGGTTCACATTGATTCATTAAAACAAAGCACGATTCCGATCAGTGTTATGGATACACCATGACATAGTGGAGCGGTGTATCCCCGACTGTGTGCCTGCGTGTCGCGAGCAAGGCAAGAAGTGGTGGGAGCACTACGCTACGACAAAGCCCGAAGGACACTGAATGCTCGCTGAACTACGGTGCTACTCGGCTGCCACTCGGCTCCTACCCCCGGGGTCCCCTACTCCAGCATATAAGGGAGAATCAAATTTCGGTTTTCAGTCTCACTGTCAGGCTTGCGGACTCAAAGGACCTACCTTCGGCGAGATGGCTACGCCCACAGTTTCAACCTTCGTTATCTCTGTGATCCTACAGCCCATCATCGTGGGGATCAGCAGTGCTATGCTCTCATCCCTCATATCCTACGAGATCGCTGGACAGCTTGACTGGAGGCCGGTAAGCCCTCTGTTTGTGGATTCCAGGTCGTACAGTCTTTTTGATTACATAGTGTAAAGATCATCATATGCATGACATGTGACATTCTTGTTATTGGTGTTGACCACCTGAAGGATCAAGAAGTTGTCATCAATGCTCTGGGTGCAGCTTCCATGAAGCGCTTTACCCCCATGTTCCACCTTGCCCGTATTTTTCTAGCGTTGACTGCGTCGCTGCTTGTGATTGCTTTAAGTCAAAGTCCATCAGAAACGACGTTCCTCACCGTAGTTTTACTACCCCCACCCCGCTTTTCTGTGGACGACACCGCTTGATCTTCAGTGGATCGGCAGGGTATTGAAGAGATTCGCGCGGTAAATTATGATCAAGAAGATTCACCCGGATCTAAGAACCCATTCATCATCAAACGAGTTCCTGGCATGAAGGCTATATTGGACGGTATCATTCGGGGGTATGTACTGTCGCATCCTGACGCTTTGTCGTTTTTGACTTGAAGATAGCTATGGGTTATTCTTAGTCGTCCACTCAGCACTACAGCTATCATGGCAATCAGCCAATAACGCGCCTCCGTGGACGATCTTCGAGACTATCATTTGGTCGACGGTCAATCGCACTTGTCATTGTGTAAGACAATTTTATTCTTGTGAATGAAGTCCCAACTCAAGGTCTTCCAAAGATTTTGGCCGATGTGCGTGACTATGACGAAGACAAGAAGGTTGGAGTGCCGACCATACCCGTCCTTCTAGAGTCTCCTCTTAAGACCCGAATAGTCTTGACCGTCGTTCAAGCAGCTGTTATGATGGCCTTCCTCCACAATCCATTCATTGTAGGGAATTGCTGCTTCACAATTGCTCTTGCTTGGATTCTAGGGAAAGATTCTCCGAAAGTTTACTTCCGTCTCAGTCTTCACTCACAGTCGATATTCATTATTATGTACGCTATTATGATCGTTTTACTATAGACTACTGTTGGTAGGCTTCACTCGCGGTCAATATTCATTGTTGTGTGCGCTGTTATGTATTGTAATGGCGCTCGGCCGCGCCAGTCCCCGACACAGATGCATTATCTCTACATACATTCTCTACTAGTACAGGTAAAAACAGAACAGGCATGACGTCATGTCTACTATCATTCAGCATCTTACAGGACCGCCAATCATAGTAAGCACACGGTGAGCATGTCAGCTGGCCGAGGAACGAGCCGAGCCGATATGTTCACCGCAACAAGAAGCAGCCTGAGGGTCCACTGATCAGATTTTGGACCTGTCGAAAAAGAGTGATGTGACCTGTTAGCATTCCGAAATAGACCGGCTCTCTATGTTTCAGAAACCATGTTACCATTCAACTGACGTTATTTAGTAAAGGTTGGACCCCGCAAACTGTATCGGAGAGAGGTACGCATCTTTTTTTATGTATTGTCGTCTTCATTGTCCTACTCGTCGAGCTCGCGGTCTTTGCAAACAGCATCCTCTGCCTTTTTTTCCAACCCTTGTGCCCATGAATGCCGCCACCTCTCTGCATCCTGCCAATTCCGCGCCCGCTCCTTCAACCTGCAGCCTAGCTATCATGCTATGCCGTCGCCGCCGGTTAATTTTTTCGCAACAGCGCATCACGACCGGGCGGCACGCCCGCGTCAAGATCTAGCGCTCTCCTTCGCGCTCGTCGTCGACATCTCCTCCCTCGTTGTCTCTCCCCACCAGTTATTACCCCTACCTGGCGGCAGGCGCCTTCGTATTTTTTCTTCAGTGATCTCCACTGCATCCTGGATTTTTTCCTCCTCACCTATCTTGCCATCCCACCTCGTGCATACTTCCCTACCAGTGTCTACATACATACTCTGTCGAATTTTTGTAGTCATAGTTTATATATTGCATCCTCATCTGTGCTCACTCAGTAAACCAAAGACAGAAGATTTTTCATAATTAAAATTTCATGATATGTAAAGAACAAAATACTGTCAAGGAGAGGCTACAAACCCAAGTCCTGTATGGGAGAGGGTGGACACGAGGATGGGGAAGCCAAATTGGTGCGTGGGGAAGCACTGGCAGGGGTTGCGAGCAGAATTCGGAGCAGTGGCGGTTTTCTGTTGGCGGTATCAGAGCTGGCAGCGCTGAGCGTGTGGAGTCGAAGTCGGGATATCGACATCGAGTATTGGACGGGTAGCTCGGCAATGGGCGTTTAAGGGAGTGGCACGAACATGGCAGGACAGCGCAGAGTAGGTATGCGCGAGAGCGGTGAACTCCGACTTAAGAATCACCAGGAAATATGCTTACCGAGCGTGGTTGAGGTCTTTGCCACTGATGTAATTGATGCGTTCAGGGACTTGTGTTTCCCACCCTATTGGGAGCCGATCTACTTCGGATTAATGATAACAGGGCACTACACTCACCATCACCAAAGTCGTAAGCGTTCGTAACACGCTTAAGCTAAGCGTTCAT